CCTTAAATTTCTTTCTTGGTCTTGGTCCTCTCTGTGTGACTTACATACCGTGCATGGGTTTTCATCGGTAAACTAATACAACTAAAAAGATAGCAAAAACTAAACAATATCAGATAAATAAACGACAATTCTCATCTGAAAGACAACATTAATGAGAAACCTTACATATGCAAGCTCCTTTTCTGTCATGGGGCTCTGGAAATTGTGGTTACCAACGTACCCAAAAGTTCCATATTTTGCTTATGTTTTGATACCTGTATGCCTCCACACAGTCCTTCAGTACACCAGCCTGGGTTGTTGGAGGGACTCTCATACCCGCGCCATGGCGTATCTAGAGGGGACGAATTCACTCTTGGATGGTGACTACCAGAGCCGTCATCACGCCATCCAGAAGTGTTACCTGGCAGCACTGTCTCGTCACTTTACCGTGTTTGGTGTACAGCATGGCGGACAGTGTTTCGGGTCTGCTGATGGCATCAACACTTACAACAGGTACGGACCTACTACAACCTGCGCAGCGGACGGCGAAGGCGGGGCTTGGGGAAATGAGGTCTACAAGATTACAGGTACACACTATTAGGCAGGTGTAGATGCCAAATGTGATGATAATGTTTGCATGGTGATATTGTAGTAATGTTATATTGTATCAAACTTGGAACAATTTTCACACATGCATACACACACTCACACACACACACACACACACACACACACACACACACACACACGCATACACACATACACTCACAATACACTCATATACACACACACACGCATATACACATACATGCAAACGGGCATACGGATGTACACACACATACTCACACGTACACAAAGCACAAACGCTTGCTTGCACGCACACGAAAACAAAGGCACTTAAAGACACACACACACACACACACACACACACACACACACACACAAATACACGGGTCTGCCTATATACCTTAACCGACCTCAACCGACCGCGTAATGGGTTAATATGCAGTATACATGGGCTAACAACCTTTTCCAACGCTCTGGATACATTTTCTATGCTTGTTTGAATGAAATTGAAAAGCATGAAGGGATCTACATCCAACTATTGAAATAAATGATCTGTCTGATCCCCCGAAGTTCGTTGGTTGGTTCCGCGGGGCGTTCCTCCTTGACGTCAATGGAGGTCAAACCGGTAGGCGTACGTGCTTAGCAGCTTGGATGTCAGGCAGGGAAACACTCTGTATATAGCTATTATGAGTTGGTTATGATAGTATTTGTGCTTTACTATGATTTATAAACCAACATCTTTGCGTTCTGTTGCCTGTATAAAGCAAAAAGTGTCCAGAGATTCCCCATGCAGGCCCAACAATGAATAACTTTTAATAACTGGTAAAATCGTCAGAGTTACAGTGTTTTTTCCATTCACACAAGCATAGACAATGTATCCAGAGCGTTGGAAAAGGTTGTTAGCCCATGTATACTGCATATTAACCCATTACGCGGTCGCTTGCGGTATTAAGGCATACCGCAAATACACATATCAAATGGTGTCGCACAAGACCACATGGCCTGTGGGCGTAAAGCGCACGACACGGAAAGAAAGCCTCATTCATTCATTCTTTTATGCACTCAATAATTCATTCATTCATGCAAGCACACACACATACCTACACAAACATACACGCGTTCACTCTCATGCATACAAACACACACGTACACACACACACACACACACATGCACACACAAATACGCGTGCGCACACACACACATACACACACACATACACACGAATGCACACAGACATACACACAGACGCACATATTCATACCTCATTAATAGTCATCCCCTTCTGTTACTTCTGTGTATGTTTGCGTTCCTTTACTATATTTCATTTATCTTATGTACTTGTATTTATCTTGTGACATCTTTGTTTATTACGTACAGCATCTTTTTACTTGCATTTATCATTTCATATATTATGAGTTCAGGGAGTTTTTTCTCTGTACATATACAATGTATGCGTCTTACGTAATTACCTATTCCTTTTTTGTGCTCCCTCTATGGTTTGATTTAATTACCTCTGTACACCCAATCCTCTTTTGTTCATATACTACTTACATAGTACTATCAAATGCTGTCGTTCATGCCCACAATAGTCTCCAAGCAGAGGTTTGGGGGTATTTTAGCGTGTTTTTTTTTTGCTTTTTTATCGGGGTTTCTCTTTTGCACTGAATTTTTTTTCCAAACCTCTGCTTGGAGAGTAGCTCACATGGGCTGGGCACGTGAAGGGCATGACATGGAAATAAAAACTCATTGATTCATTCATTCATTCACACGTGCACATACACAATCAACAGACACAAGTCCTAATTTGCATGAATGATGTTATTTATTGATCCTTACAGGTTTAGAATAATGATTGGTGGCGTTTTTATGATACCATTACTGATTCAGTCCTTTCTGTCTCCTCAGGGTACACCAGCCTGGGTTGTTGGAGGGACTCTGCTACCCGCGCCATTCCGATTCTAGAGGGGACAGATTCGCTCTTGGATGGTGACTACCAGAGCCGTCATCACGCCATCCAGAAGTGTTACCAGGTAGCGCTGTCTCGTGGCTTCCCCATGTTTTCTGTACAGGACGGTGGACAGTGTTTCGGGTCTGCTGATGGCCTCAACACTTACAACAGGTACGGACCTACTACAACCTGCGCAGAGGACGGCGAAGGCGGGGCTTGGGGAAATGAGGTCTACAAGATTACAGGTAAATGGACAGGTGTAAATGTATAAATGGTGATATTGTATGCATGGTGACATTGTAGCAATGTTACATTGTGTCAAAGTGGCACAATTTTCTCACATACATATATGCATAAATGCAAACAAACATATACATGTACACACACGCGCGCGCGCATACATACACACAAAAGCACACACACACGAACAAACACACGAATGTATGCGCGTGCGCTCGCACACGAACACAAAGACACCTAAAGACACACACACTCACAGGTACACGCACACACTCACACACACACACACACACACACACACACACACACACACACAGTGACACATAAGCTCACACGCACACACACACACACACACTCGAGTAACAGGCACAAACATACACACAGGTACAGAACTTGTCTGTGTATGGAAGTCTTACTTAAGCAAACGAGCCTTTTTTGACAGACATTAGATCGAAGGGCAATCGCTGGACGACTCAGTCGACTGTGGTATATATATATATTTGACTGTGACATATCTACATGTTGATTTTCGTTGATTTTCTGTTGCAAGGTCAGACATGGCTCTTAATGAGCGGCTGCATGAGATTAACAAATTGTACCTGTATGTTCTCCCCCCCCCTCCCTCTCGACATGTATTGCTATAATGTTTGTTGGAGTGTTTAAAGTTAAAACTTTTGATCCAACACAAAAAAAAGTTCTCTAACCTAGATCTCGGCAGTAGACGTCAACTTGCAAACTTGTTAAGATGTTTACTTCCAGAAAGCCACCTTACAAGCATAACTCGGCCGGTCTACTTAGGACGACCAGAGTTATTTGTCGAAAGCTCTAGGTCAGAAAACTTCTTTGTGGATCAAAGGATTTTTAACTCTAAACATGAAACTACCAACACAGATGAAATTTCATGATAATACTGATTCAGTCATTTCTGTCCCCACAGGGTAGTCGGAATTCAGACCAGAACACCAACTGCTGGAAACGGAAACTACTGATTGGACTAAAGTGTGTTCCTAAATGTAATTATTCAATGTGGCCCATTGAAACCGGCTACTGTGTTGGACCAAGGATGAAAGCTCCTTGGTTGGACAAGAAAAAAGACATCTGATCTGTGTGTTTTTGTATGTGTGTGTGTGTGTGTGTTTTGCGTGAGTGTGTTTGTGTATGTGTTTGTGTGAGTATTTCCTACTTTTTTTATAGAAAGTAAGCCTGGCAGGCGTTTCATTGTTTCCTTCTTAGTTAAAAATGACTCATCTTAGATGAATTACTCATCAAGATTATTTGTCGGTTGATATTTTTAATATTTGTAGGTGTTCTCACATCAATTTCTTAGATTCAGTTTTATATAAGGTATTG